ATGTTGGAATAAGCTTAAAAATTTAAAAGAGCTTTTGAGGTATTTGATGATGTTGATCCTTATTATAAAGTTGAACTCTTATTGGAATACGGGGTGTCCGATCAAAATGATTGAACCAGTGTTAGAAAATTATGTCTTTTCTTGCAAAAATTTTACAATCTCTTAGTTAGAGTTTTGGGTTTTACATATATCATCATTAACAATTTTCTTGAAGATATATATGGTGTTTATAGTATTTTGCAAGATTGGCAATTGAATGTTGATGTTGAGTTGAGTGCAATGGCTAAAAGAATGAATGATAAGTATGATAAGTATTGGGGGAATGTGGAGAAAATAAAAATGTTACTTTATATTGCTTCTATTTTTTATCCTAAAAAAAAAACTTGTATTTGTGGAATTTTGCTTTATGAAAATGTATTCTCGTAATCAAACTTTAGTGATGATTAAGAAAGTGCAAGAAGTAATAGTTGAGTTGTTTGATGAATATAAAAACATATTGCAACTTCAATATGAACAAGTTGGTGATAATAGCCATGCAAGTCAACCACCACCATCCACAAATAAATTTGGAACTACGGACCTATATGACTCATAAGCTATTATGGTTGGGTTTAAAAGGTTTAGGAAACAACAAGATAAAGAAGAGAATAAATCAAAATTGGATAAATATTTGAATAAAGAGCTTGATGCTATAAGGAGGGGTGGACTTTGATTTAGAGCTTGTGTATTGCTCATTGATGTTATTTAAGACTTAGACTTACTGTGTATTATGTATTGCTCATTGATTTTATTTGAGACTTAGACTTACTGTGTATGAAGCTTGTGTTTATGAAGTTTGTGTTTAGATTTTATGAAGCTTGTGTTTATGAACTATATGAATTACATTGAAAGTTGAATACATGAAATAAGAAATCAAAACATATAATATTGAAAAAATCGATTGAAATTGACAAGATTAAATTGGTTCAGTTTTTTCAGTTTTATATTACTATTCAATTGATTCGGTTTTATTTTTAGGCTAAGTCGGTTAAATCAATTTTCGAATTTTTTCAACCAAATTAACCGAATTGACTGATTACTCAACTGTACTTTTAGATAGGATTTCAGAATAATATAAATTTTAAACAATTTTTAAAAACGAGTCTAACACTTTATTTAGTAATATGGCAATAAACTAGATGGAAAGAGAAAAATGTAGTTATAGGATAAATGAAGTAAATGAAATAAATCGTGAATAAAAGATTAAATTTTTGGTTGAATAATATTTTACTTCAAATTTCCTTTCACTAGGGAAATTATTAAATTTTGCACATAAACAAATGTGAATTTACTTAATTTTTATTTTCATTATATCATGAGTGTCAGTGACGGATTTAGAATTTTTTCTTTTGAAGAAATCCATTGATAATACGTATAAAAAATTATAGATAGATTTATTAATTTTATCTAAGAAAATAATGTTCAAGAAAAGTTTTGGAAGTGTACAAGAAAAAAAAAATTTAACTTTCTTTTGTTTTTCAAAATTTTTATGAAATTACAAATATAAGAGAAGTTACAATCATAATAAGGTATTATATTCATATATAAAAAATTAATAAATAATCAACTAAAAAGCTAAAACATAATTAAATAAATTTGACATGAAATTGAATAAAACTTACAAAAGTTGAGACTTGGACCTAGAACTTCAAGGTTCTAAGCGTTCTTCTTGTCACTAAATCAGTGCCTGATTGACATAATTTTTAATCCACATGTGACGAGGGCAAATATATAGTAAGAAGAATTTCCTCTTACCATCTATTTTCTTAATTGCTTTCCTCATTTTCTTCACCAACCAAACAAATATTGATTTGAAGAGTGGCAAAACCAACATTCTCCCCCTTTTCCACTAGCTTTTCACCTTCTATTTGATCAATCCGTCACCTTAAAAGAAGAATACTACCCTTCTTTATTTGCACATTGATGCTTTTGAAGATATTAGCCAAATTCTAAAATCTCATGATTGTACATCTTAAACCTATTTCATTCAACATATATCGCACTACTTGTTTCACTTCAAACACCTTTCTCATACAGTTGGAAGTTGTGATAACACTCGTTTGCTCACTTTTTTATCGCAATAATTTGAACTCTGCACGTCAGCTCTAACTAATTTCAATAAGAAACAGAAAAAAAGAGAGAGAGAGAAGCAGGTTTTTTAAACGGAGCTTAGCTGCTTATTTATTTAGCTTCGCACTCTTGCCCTTATTAAGAAGCAAGGAGGCCGAAATTTAAGAGATAAAAATGAAAATTATTAGTGATGTAGGTTGAATCTCAATTTTGCATAAATTTATAGGTTAAACAAATAATAAATCATTTGAGTTATCCGTGAATTAAAAAAAAAAAGGGCTTTGACAGCGTCCAATTGAAACTTCAAATCTATTTTTTTTTAACAAAATTTTAATCTTGGTGCAGATTTAAGTGATGTTGAAAGAAGCTTTGGTCAACGAGTTTTTGGTTTTGCGGCTTCAAATTTTAGCATTTGAAAGGGTTGCTCCAGTCAAAATGTAATTGCCTTCTCCGTCAAGGCAAGTCCTCTAACTAGTGGGATCGGGTGGGATTAGGGTAAGGTGGAGTCTAGAACATATAATTCATAATTATTATAATATAATTAATTAATTATAATTTAAAATTATATAAAAATTATAAAAATTTATATACAATTTACATTTATAAGTGATGAATTTTTATATAATTTTTTATTATAATATTATAATAAAAGGATTCATACATAAAGTGTTTGAGAGACTTAAAACAATGTTTTTACTGTTTGGTGGTCTCTAATTTAAACTACTTGAAGGCTAAATTAAAGTTTGAGAAAGGATCTTCATGAACCCAAAAAAAAAATTTATCTTCTAGAGAATTTTATTGGAATTAAAGGGACTAAGATTAAATTTATCATTATGTAACATGACTCAATATTAATTTTATCACTGTATTTTAAATCAATTTCTTTGATTTTTATATAAAAGTTAACGAAATTGAAACGCTTCACTTAATATTTTTAATGTAAGTGATCATTTTGGTTAATTTTATTATTTTTTTTAAAAAAGAAAATTTAGAATATAGTGATAAAACTTAATAAAATTAAAATATAATAAAAAAATTTAATATTAACTCATAATATATTAATAAATTTAATCTTAATTTTGAAAACAAATAATAAAATAATAATAATTTAATTTTCTTTTTCAGGCCTCGTATTTCCCGTGGACTAGCGGGGTTGCACGACCTCATTTTTGTTGGAATAGGGTAGGTTAAATGAAATAAGATGGTGTTAACAATTATATAATTTATTGAGAAAGAGATAAATTTTTAATTTTTGTAATTACGATTTGATTTTTGATAATCTCGATTATTAAAAAAAAAAAAAAGGGATGGAGTAAATCATCCCATGCATAATCATAATTTGTTTTCCTTTTTATTAACTACCGAGGTTTTTTATTTTTATAAATTCACATTCAAATATTGCATTTTATGCAAAAAAAAATGCACATTCATATAGTAGTGGATTTAAGATTTTTATTTGGAGATATCCACTTATAATATATAAAATATTATCGACAAATTTATGAACTTTATCCATGAAAATGGTATTAAGAAGAAAATTTTGATATGTTCGTGAAAAATTTTCTTTAAATTTTGATTAAAATATTAAAAGACTTTTAAAAACTTTTCACTTTACATAAATAAATTTTTATATTTTATTGTATCGAAATAAACTTTTAGTTTTTTTATTTGTATCCAAGTAAATTCTTATTTCAAACAAAAAATTAATTTATATTAAAAATTTATTTAGGTATAAATTAAAGGTTAATGACTTATTTGGATGCAAAATAAAGATTAAAGACTTATTCAGGTGTAATAAAAATATATGAATTTTTTTAAATAAAATTATAAATTTTAGGGTTTTTTAAATTTTTTTAACCTTAAATTTTTCTTATTTCAATTTTTGAAGATACCTAGAAGGAATTTTTGAAGGTATCCAACATAATTTTTTTAATTTTATTTTTAAGTTCATGAACACCCCAGGATACCATTAAATCTGTCACAGAATTAGTCAATATATACCAACTAATGTAGTATAAGAAAAAAAAGTGATAAATATTTTAAAAAGAATTAGTCAATATATACCAACTAATCAAGTATAAGAAAAAGAATGATAAATATTTTAAAAGAATCATTCTTTGAGATTATCTAAAAAATAAATAATTCTTTTAGTAATATTCTAATGGATCATTAAAACAACCGAAACATAGGTTTTGTTGATCGTAAGAGTATGAAAACTAATTCTAATTTCAACAGTCAATTAGTGCAAATGCCATCAAATACTATCATACATTGAAGCTTTTGCCTTTGAAACTTGTATGGGATGGTGCTAGTAAAATTTTATTTACATTGCACTTAAAATTTAATTCAATTTCAATTAATTTATATAATTATTATTAAAAACTCATATTTAATAAATTTAAATTTTAAATTTTAATACTGATAATTTTAATATCTTAAACTGTAATTTTTTAAAAAATTTCTATTTACTTTAGTTAAAAAGAAAAAAAAAAAGTAAAAAGTAGAGATTACTAAAAGGGAAAGAAAAAAAAAAAACTCTTAACCATCCAAAAGAAAAAAATTTAGCTCTCACAGATGTCCCGATTCTGATAGACAAAAAAAAATATTTTTTAAAATTACAACCATAATCAACTAAAACATAATTAAACAATAACTTTTACATAAAAAGAGAGAATGGTTTCTGTTGACTGAGCCAGAGCCGGCAGAAGCCGTCTGTTTCTGTTGTATAAATTAAAAAAAATTGTATGGTATTTTTAAGTATTCAAAAAATATACACTCCATATATTTATATACATATCTTAACATGTTTAAATTTATGCATTTGTCATAGCTCAAAGAGAGCCACAGTTTCCTTGGTGATTAATTGAAACTCTCTTTTTATTCTATCTCTTTGCTTCTCAAGTTCAACCTCTTAACAGATTTCCAAGTAGTGTGAGTTTGTTGCCGGTGTTGTAATCTTGTGAAATATTTCTGGGTTTTGATTGTTTCATGGATTGGAGTTATTTTCATCTCTTCCTGAGGTTCAATGCTCACGTGTACGTACTCTAATTTGGAAAACTTGGGTCTTGGGGGTGACTTTGAATGATTTAAGAAGAAGCTTGGATTTCTATCGATCATGTAGTAAAAATTCTTCGACTTTGGCTATTTGGTGGATTGGATATAGAGAATTTTGGAATTCTTTGGCGGTATTGATGGGAAAGGATAGAGTTAGCTAGTTTGATAGTACTAGTTTTTAGATGGTGAATTAAGGCTGTTAAAGGAGGTTATTTGTTGTTGGTGAATGTAATTGTGTATATATAGAAACATGGGTTGCATGAGTTCTAAGTCTGCGGCAGTTGAAGATAGCCTTGAGAACCACAAAGAGAGGCTGACGCGAAAGGGGTCATTAGATAAGCTTGTTCCACAAGCTACTTCATCAAGAAGAGAGGAGGTGGTTCGATCAAAAGATAAATATGATGGTGGTGATGTGAAAGTCTTGTTGATCGACGAGAGAACTAGTGGTTCCAATCGTTTTTGTTATAATGATCAGGTTGAGAAGAGGATCATTGATAAGTTTGACGTGAACGAGAAAAATAAGGTAGAAAAGTGTGAGATTACAGTTTCTGGTCATCATCCTGGTCCACGAAGGATGCTTCATGGCATCGAAGGAGAGCAGGTTGCAGCAGGATGGCCTTCTTGGCTTGTTGCTGTGGCAGGTGAAGCTATCAAGGGATGGATACCGCGACGGGCCAATACCTTTGAGAAGTTGGATAAAGTGGGTTCTCTTACTTAGCTTGACCCTATATTACATTTATTTTGAAGCGTGATCAATGCTCATCATATACCGCTTAGCTAATAAAGTGTCTACAACTCTGGAAGATAATTTTGTTCAGCCAATTATGCTTTATATTTGCTCATTAGTTTGCCTAGTTTAATGTTTAAATTGGCATCAGTTTCACTTTTTCACTTGGACCTTTTAGGATTGAACAGTGTTTTGTATATTTATTCTATAATTTCCTTGATTTTCAAAAAACACGCAGCCCTCATCTGCAGACAAGTATAGTAACTAATTTGGGGCGTCAACAACTTACAGCCTTTATATGAGTAATGAGTTCGAATAAGCAAAGATCTTTTGCTTTTTGATGAAATAATGAACAAAGATCTAGTCTAATTAGTTTCCCCTTTTTATAGGTAAACTAATCACACATCTGTGAACATATTGTACTCTGTAGTAGGGTCCATGGTGATTTAGCTTGTCATAGAAACTCATCCTATTATGTATCTATATGAATTCCCAGGTTGGTATTCTCATTTTCCTTCACTCTGTTTTCGCATGATAGTGTTTCATTCTTGCAGATTGGCGAAGGAACTTACAGTAGTGTGTATAAGGCTCGTGACTTAATTCATGATAAACTTGTGGCTCTGAAAAGAGTGCGGTTTGATAATCATGATCCTGAAAGTGTGAAGTTTATGGCAAGGGAGATTATTCTTTTGCGAAGACTTGATCATCCGAATGTTATTAAACTGGAAGGCTTGATCACATCCCCAATGTCATGCAGCTTATACCTTGTTTTTGAATATATGGAACATGATCTTGTGGGACTTGCATCACTTCCCAGGATCAAGTTTTCAGAGCCTCAGGTAATCTTATAATGGTTTTATAGTTATCTCTGGCAGCTGTTCAACATTGTCTTTAATAGAGCAGTATCTAGATGCAATCTTGGTGCAACAGTCACCTACACACCTTTATTTTGTAATTTATTAGGACATCTCTTTAAATTTAGTGTTTGTTTGTTCTTAACTTTCTTTCCATTTTCGGGCAGATTAAATGCTACATGCAGCAACTTCTAAGTGGACTTGATCATTGTCACAGCTATGGTGTCCTTCATCGTGACATAAAGGGTTCAAATCTACTCATTGACAGTAATGGAACCTTGAAGATTGCAGATTTTGGATTAGCATGTCATTTTGATCCTCACGATAGTGTTACAATGACCAGCCGTGTGGTGACTCTTTGGTATCGACCACCAGAACTTTTGTTAGGAGCTTCTCATTACGGGGTTGCAATAGATTTATGGAGTGCCGGTTGCATACTCGGGGAACTATACTCTGGCAAACCTATTTTGCCTGGGAAAACAGAGGTACCAGGTTCAAGAGCCTAATTTTAATGAATTTTGATTTTGTTCTTTGCTACTAATATAACAATTGTTATTATTCTAAGCGAAAATATTTGAGAAAAAAAAAATGATCACAACTTCCTAGCCTTAACTCAGGTTTGTGACGGTAAAAAGAAATAAACGGAAATTGCTAGATAATTATATTTGCCCTTGAGCAGAGAATTTTACTGAAATTTTGTGCAATCCATGCTTATATTGATGTTTTCTTGGAGTTTGAATCTTAGGTGAATAAATGAATATTCACGTGATATCCCTCTTAGAATATGATTGTTTCTAATAATTGATTTTTGCTTTATTAATTTGTCTTTACTTTGAACTTGATTAGACTTAACTGGTAATCTTTGTGTTTACACCCTGGTAGCTGATGTTTGCAAACAAAAAAGGCGGATTGGATTTGTTTTAATAAATGGTTTTATTGTATGATTTTTTGGAATGAGACATGTTTTTCAAGTGTGCTTGCATACCATTCTTCCTTCGAGAAGCTATATGATTTTTAAATCCAAAATTTTCTTTAGGTGAAATTATCTCCTATCCATGTGCTAATTTGCACGTTTCTATAAGTTCGTTTCTATTTTAATATTCTCAAAGTAAGCATTCTAGTGGTTGGCTTTTAAAAAGAAAAAAAAAATAGCAAATGACAGGTATGAATTAAATTTTACATACATTGTAGGTTGAGCAATTACATAAGATTTTTAAGCTATGTGGCTCACCGTCTGACGAATACTGGAGTAGGGCAAACTTACATCATTCAACGGTGTTCAAGCCTCTACACCCATATAGACGATGTATTGCTGAAACTTTTAAAGACTTTCCTTCTCCTGCTTTAAGTCTCATGGAGACCTTGCTTTCAATAGATCCTGTTCGTCGAAGAACTGCTGCTTTTGCTCTGAAGAGTGAGGTATGCACGATATGATCAATCATCACCAAAGAATTTATATATTAAGAAGGAATGCTGAGTGTTTTTTTTTTGTTTTTTTGCATGGACTAAATAGTTTGGAGTCAATTCAGGATAATTTTACTGATCTCTTTCTAGGTACTGGAGTTAAAACATTTTTCTTTGCAACTTTCAAGATAGTTTTCTGAGCAGAACTACCATGGGTGTGTTGCAACCGTGAAAATGGTTCTTTAAATACATTAACTTGTTTTTAGCTCTTGTTGAGTCATCAATTCTTTAATTTTTCATGGATAACTTAAGTTATTCCTGTTCACCTGGAATTTACGGTCTTATTAGCTGTTATGAATTTTCACGGATTATTTTTCTCTGCCTTTTTTTTGCCAGTTCTTTACAACACAACCTCTCGCATGTGATCCTTCAAGTTTACCCAAATATCCTCCTAGCAAGGAGATTGATGCTAATTTGCGGGATGAAGAAGCTAGAAGGTACTGTTAAAGTTGATTCTTATCAACTTCAAAAGTCAGTATGGTGTATATTTTATTTTTGGTATAAATTACTTGTCTGTCTTATTATCTAGTTATGTACGCATGTTGCTATCTGCTACAGTTCTGATGTTGTCAATGGCAAATGAATGATTAAACCTTGATAGGTGGTGAAATATACCAAAACCATTGAAGTTGAATGTGTGCATCGTATGAACTGCACTTCTCCAATTGCTTCCTTAGAAGTATTTGGGTTTTATAGCACAAGTGTTTCTCTCTCTTTTCTTCTGTGGACTTGTAATGGTGCCTTTTTATTTTCATAATTTGGGCCGGGGAGAGGCTTACTTCCTAGTAAAAAGTCTTCTTCATAAGATTAACCTCTTCTCATATTCCCTTAGGCGAAGAGCAGATGGGAGCAGGGGTTCAAGGGTTGACATGGAAAGGAGGGGACAGAAGGAACCACTTGCAATACCAACATCCAATTCTAATTCTGAGCTGGCCACATCAATGCAGGTAATTTTTTTAAATGAAAAAAGATCTGATGGCTATTCATTCAAATGCTAGCCATAAGCAACTAGATGACTTTGTTTTCTGAATTTTCTTTTTGTAGTAAAGGATTATAAATTTGAGATGTAGATTGAAAAAATATCTCAAGGGTGTAAACCTTGTCACAGTCACTTTTGCGCTTTTTTGTAAGGACACGAGAAAGCAAATTGAGCATTTGTTTTATGTTTGTCAGTATACTCAAATGTTGGTAAGAGATATGCGAAATGAATATCTGTGTCTATCTATCTTTATGGTATTTAGTGCATATTTGTCAAGGTGGAGAAATGCAGCTTACAGAGTTACATGTCAAAAGGGTCACAGGCAATCTAACATGGGCAGATCACAGAAATTACAGTTCTTTTAACACGCATTTCTTCACTAGATATGCACTAACATAATCCTTTTGGGACCAAATGTAATTGGATTTTTAAATTCATCCTTTTCTGTCATCTATGTGTTTATATGGTTGTAAATTTGGTTTTCTCTGGCTCTTATTCTTCTAAATGTCCCTCGGTGCGTTTGCCTCTTGCTTCTCTATAGCTAACCATATTCAACTTTCGCCCTCTAATTACAGAGAAGACAACCTCATCCTCATTTGAAGAGTAGGAGTCAGATGTTCAATTCTCGTAAAGCAGCTGCCTTTTCCGGTTTTTGTATTGATCCCACTAAACAGATACCTGCTGCAAAAGAAGAAAGGAGAGATTTCTTAGAATACAATAGAAAGAAAGTTTCACTTTCAGGTCCATTGGTCCATGATAATGTTTTTGAGAAGTGTGGGAAGGAACATGATGATCTTCCTGTGGTCTCATCCAGAGCTGATTTATCGAAATTATCTGGTTTAGTAGCAACTAGAACTTTGGCTTCTGAAGATCACAGAGACAAACCTGGACCTTTGACTCTAGAAGCAGTAAACCAAGCAGGCAGGTCTGGCAGATTATTTAATGAATTAGAATCTGCCGGAAAACAGGATGCCAGATGCCATATGGCAAAGACTGCAAAATCCCCGGATACAGGAGGTGGAAGAGCCTGCATTAAGGAATCAAGTCTGGTTAGTTCCTTACATTGCTTTTTTATTTTTTATTTTTTTTAAAGCGGAGATCACAGTTACAAATTGGTCAAGCGTATACAACCAACATTGACCACATTATTTATTCTTCCCCTTTAGGCTTCAATATTTCTGTGGTCCAAATATTTTTTCCCCTTTTAGCATTCGTACCATACAGGCATCTATTCTAACACCTGGCTTTTATCTTATCATCTATTCTAAAACCTGCATTCTTATGAATACTGTTTCCAGCATGGTCGTGGTCCCAGTGGAAACAAAATTTATGTCTCTGGTCCATTACTTGCTCCATCCAACAATGTTGATCAGATGCTCAAAGAGCATGACCGTAAGATCCAAGAATTTGCTCGAAGAGCAAGACTTGACAAGACAAAACTTGGGAAACTACAAGCTCAAGGGAAACAAGTGGAAGAAAATTCGTTGTTTGTCTCTGCTAGCAGAGCTGGATAGATGTGTTATCCTCTTTTCTCTCTTGTGGTGAAGCTGGAAAAATCAGCTAACCTGATATACCCAGATAGATAATTAATTTACAGGATCTTTTATGTATAGTAAGTCCATCATTTACTTTCCTTTGATTTGGTAAGGTATAAATGTACATTTTATAGGATATAATTCTTTGGCTTTGTAGGTGATTATTACTTTTTATACATCAATAATGGAATCAAGTGGAAGCATTACAATTTTGAAACTATTCTTATTTCATAGAATTAGAATATTCAGAAATGATGTGAAAGTGGATAAACAAGAATGTTTTCTCGCCATCGGATAGGTTTGCAAAGTCAATAGCTTTCCGTAGCTAGGAAATGGTCCAAGCATCAGCATGAGATGTAGCCTGCTCTCCATCAAAACAGCCTAACCTAAGTTGTAGATTTGGTCGATGTTGATGGAATATTACACAAACCTTGGCATATTTCTAGAGTCTGACAGTTCTAAATTTCGAGTTGTTGACTGGTAAAAGCTGACCAATACATCAAAGTTGGAATTCATTTTAGACTATCAGAATCTCAATTCTGATACAGTGAATAAAAAAATTTCACCTCTTATGAGAATGCAGAAAATGTTTATAGTAAGAAAGGTTAAGAAAAAGGGTCTTTGTAATTTCCTGCAATCTATGATCAGATAACTTGCTTTGGTTATATGATAATATTAAAAACTTCGACAATCTTGAGTTTAATTCAGATGATATGAAATTGGAATGAATCTTGTAAGAAGATTGAATGTAATTTTTCATGAATTCATTAGATCTTTATATAAATAATTATGTTTGAATCAACCCGAAAGAGATGTACTAAAGAAAATCCAAAATCCCCTACGGCTGAAAAAAATCAACCATCCCACCAAACAATTATCGAGTAAATAAGTTCTAAGGAGTCAGGTTGTAGGCAGGGCCCTAACCGAACCTTGGACATAATTCTACGAGAACAAAGCCCCGTTTTGTTTGTCCTTGTGTTTCATTTTTGTTCAAAAAGTGAATGCAGGTGAGCAAAAATCTATTTCCTTTGGAAGCCAAATAGAAAAAGAATGGGAATACCCTTTAACTTTAAATATGGGCCTCAAATGGAGCCCAGGAAAATTTTGAAAACAGAAAATGCGGTGAGCGTGGATCGAACACGCGACCTTCAGATCTTCAGTCTGACGCTCTCCCAACTGAGCTATCCCCGCGATTGACGTATGTGGATGATTAATTATATTTGTCTTTCTTACTATCAACAACAAAACAAACGCTATGCTGATTGCTGAGTGGTAGACCTGTCATAATCAGGCAACGCTGAGTAGCTTTTGTTTTAAAAAACCTAAAATATTATTAGGAACTGAGAGCTTAAATTTGTATTAATCGAAGAAAAAAAAATCCTGAATATTGGAAAAAAGGAATATATGAATACGACTACAAGATGCCATGGCCAATTTTGGGACTAGTTCAAGTTTGGTGCATGAAATAGTAGAATGTTATTGATGCGTTTAAAGTTGAATCATAAAGGTTAATTTGCCGCTTAATCCAAATCCAATGGATGAATTTTTTGGTCGTAGATAAATAAATGATAGCACGTTTGCTATTTTTGGGCGCCTCGTGCCTTGTGGGATATGGCAATCCGATGCCATTTGCGACCGTCTTATGATGGTTTGTCGTTGGTCTAAGCTAGATTCAGTTGGTCATCGGAATCTCCCTCTTTATTTCTTCCTCTCCCTGCTATGGTTGGTTGAAAGTGTTATATTTTATTCCTTTGGTGTGGACTAGTAAAGTCATTAATTCAAACTTAGCTTAATTGGTGTTAAATTATGTGAAACTATATTGATTTTGATTTTGATAATACTTGAATCAAGTAATATAATTTACGTTAAGTATGATCTCTATGCTAATTATATTTTTAGATCTATAATGTGATGTATCAATATTGACTAACTTGTTAAGAGTGGTCCTACTCTCACCCATTGACGGTGTCACATAGGGGAATGAGGGGACCATGGTCCCCAAATTTTTAAAAGTTGTCTGAGTCTATATAATATTATCAATTAATTAATATATTTTTCAAAATAAATGAATGGCCCCCTTAAGATAATATAATTATTTTAATTTCTATTTGTAAATTTCTAACTTATTAAAATTTTTAAAAATCTTAAGAGCATTATTTTTTTTTTCAAGTTTAATAAAAATTTAAACTATCTTCACTAAAATAAAAAAATTAACATAACTTAATATATTTGTAAAGCAATTCTTTCTATAGAAAATTTTATTTATAGTGTTATTAATTAAATAGTATAAACACTTTAATACTAAATAAATGACAAGGTATATACATTTGTAAATTAAATTTATGAAGTTTACAAGTAAAAATAGTTTTATACATAATGAGAACTACAACTAAAAATCAAAACTAAAACTACAATGTAATTAATAGCTTGTTGAATGTACTATTTATATGTAAGTTTTGAAAATTTTAACAAATTACATATCTTTGTTCTGTTTTAAATAAAAATATTTGAGTTTCCTTCATTTTTAACAGTTATATTTTTTATTTCAATATTTCAATTTTTTATGTATGTTGTCTATGATTACAATATGAAATGTTATATTTCACATATGTTTTCATAACTTTTGATAAAATAATATGATATTAATTGCTAAATAAAAATTTTCAAGTCATAGATTTATTTTTGTATAGTTCCTTCTATTGCAACATGTGGGTTCGTGAATCTGATCGTAGGATATAAAATTTTGGAAATAAAAGAAAAATTAGGAGTTACGATAAATTTTTTTTACTATGTGTGATTGGTCATCTAAAAAGTTTCTCTTTTTAATAAAATAAAAAAAAAAGAATTTAAGGTTTATCAAAAAGATTTTTTTTATCTTTAAAAACAAAATTTGTTTCAGGAGTATGGTTATACGCAAGGAAATATTAGCACCTCACAACGCTTGTTTAGAAAATAATACCAATTAATTATGAGTTATCTTTGGTGTTAGATAAAAATGATTTCAATTTGAAATTTAATAATAATTCCCTTCACTTTTTGAAAAATAAAATCAATTTTATTAAAAATCTTTATTTAGAAATATTGTGAAGATCTTTAGGTTAAAGAATTACTTTAAAATTCTTTAATTTTAGGTAGAATTTAAAGATAACTCTTTTCGCCTACGATTCACCACGACATTTCTTTAAAATACAAATAACATTCTTTGTAGATAATAATTGTTGGTGACTCTTCAACCTCTAGGCAGAGTACTAAGAATTATTTCTTTTGGAATATTATTTTAGTTTTATTTCAAATTTTATATTTTGTGAATAATATTTTACATGAAAAAAATTTTTATGCAAAAAAAAAAGATATGCTACAATTAACAAATAAATAGTAATAATTAAAAGGCATAAACATATGAAATGAATGCAAATAACAATCCAAAGACAAATATGTGCTAATGGATGTTATACATGATGATGACATGCGATTTTTTAAATCAGGTCTTTAAATATAAAGAGTCGATCCAAACTCCCCAACCTCTAGGCAGAGTTTAGTTGCGACTATTTATACTTAAGATCCTATTTTTATTTCTTTTTAGTTAATCTTATTATTATTTTTTATTTAAGAATCGTACGAAAAAATTTAATGAAATAAGATTTCCTAAATATATTATCTTTTAAGCGGTATTTAGTAACATATTATTTCATATGAGGTTTTCCTACAAATTCTTTGATTTTTGGGGTAGCTTTGGGTGTTGACATGGGTTCAATGTTTTGAAATTTGACTAATTTCAAGGTCCGGATAATTTAAGGTTTGGGGTTGGATTTATGGCTTTGATTATATTCAAAGTCAGGGGCTAGGTTCTGGGTTTAAGGTTTAGTTTATGGTTTAGGGTTTAAGGTAATGTTAGGGTTTGGTTTAGGTTAGATTTAGGGTTTAAGTTAAGTTTAGGGTTAGTTTAGGGTTTCCACTAGGGTTAGGGGTTGACTTTAGATTTTAAGGTTTGACTTCAAGGTTTAAGGTTTGATTTTAAGGTTTAAGGTTGACTTTAGGGTTTATGAGTTAACGTTAGGGTTTAATATTTGACTTTAAGGTTTAGGGTTTGAAGTTTAGGGTTATGGTTTGGATTAGGATTAGGTTTTAGGATTTGGGTTTGGGTTAGGTATGGCCAAATGTAGGGTTTAGATTAGGGTTTGGTTTTAGGGTTTAATTTTGGAGTTTACGGTTTACCATGATTTTTATAAACCTCCCAAAAAAAACTCCAATATCTAGGTGGACTTTCGAAGTAAGCCAAACAATCATGGTTTTCGAACTTATTTAAGGCTTGATGATTATGCAAATGCTATGTCAATAATGCACATGACAATTAATTAAAATGCAAATGATGCATGAAACTAGACTACCATGCCATTATATGACTAATGCAATTTCACAAAACACTTGGAAAATATGGTAGAAGACCACATTTCTATTTCATCAAACCATAATTATTAATTTTATTTTGATACTGGCCATACCAGTCGGTATGCTTTAATTATACCAAAAGATAGTAAACTTAAGATGATTTGTTGTACCGAATTTAGTATTAGGTAGTATTAGTTGTTTTTGTTAGTTTTGGTAGGTTTCAGTGAGTTTCGGTGGATTGGCATGTTTTAGCTAGTACATGAATGCGAAATATATTTTATAATTTTTAACTTGTCTTTTGTTGTTTAACTATTTTTAATCAAATAAAAATAAAATTAATTGACAAAATAACCTTTGAAAGTTGAATTTCTTTATTTTTTATTGTAACTTATGTTCTTTTATACTTTATATTTTTAAATAAAAGTTTTTAATTTTATATTTTCAAATCAAAATTTATAAGTATTTCAATTTCTTTCAAGAAAGCAATTATGCTACTTTTATAAAGTTTAGCAATCATAAAACCTTAGTTAATTTTTCATCTTTTTGTTTTTATCTTAATATTTACATAAAAAAATACTTATTGAAATATCATATGATCAGATTAGGTATTTAAAAATATTATGAAAAATTTATGATATTATTTTTTATACTTTTAAACTTATTGATTTGATTTTTAAAGATATTGCATATTTATTTTATAGATTATTAATAATATTATAATGTACAAATTCATGCATGTTTATAAATATATTTGTAATAAACCGAAAAATCTGAAATAATATGCCAAAACAATTGGTACCAGTATATATCATATTTTTATAAAAAATCAAAAAATTATCTAGTATGATATTAACAACCCTAAATCAAACACTTAGGAAGCATATTAAAAGAAACCATTTTTATTAGCACAAACATTTATCAAACATATAGTAAATTACCAAAATAACTAGTTGAAGAAAATAATTTCCTAAAATTACAAAAAATGTAGCTAACAAATCACAAAGCAAGAAAACATATAATAATAAGATTGCATTAAAATACAATACCCATCTTGGCCTCTAGTGTAACTGTCCTAATGAGAAAAGATCATTTTACCTTTATTAATATTTTTTTCAAGCTTTTTCATGATTTTCCTAAAATCTTATGATGCAATTTTTTATTTTCATGATTTTAATGAATCAAACTTCATAAAAAAAATATAACTATGATTTGGAGCTTTTCACGAAAAATCAACCTTAAAAAACTCAAATTAAGAAAATTAGCCTTAAAGGGTATTTTGATAATTTTATCATTTTGAGGTGCAATCAAGGTTTTCAATGGATCAAAATTCATGGAATAATATTAAAATAAGATATGAAGCTTTTCACAAAAAACTGACTTCGAAAAGATCAAATTATGAAAATACTTCTAAAGGATATTTTAGTAATTTCACCATATCTGAGGTGCAATCAAGGTTTTCAATTCATCAAAATTCATGAAATAATATTAAAATATGATCTGAATTTTTTCAAGAAAAGCCAACCTCGAGAACATCAAATTACGAAAATACCCACAAAAGGCATTTTGGTAATTTCAACTTTTCAAAGGTGCAATCATGGTTTGCAATGCTTCAAAACTCATGAAATAACATTAAAATATGATATGAAGTTTTTCATAGAAAATCAACCAAAAAAAATCAAATTACAAAAATACCCCAAAGGGCATTCTAGTAATTTCACCCTTATAAGGTGCAATTAAGATTTTCAAGAATCCAAATTATAATTTTATTAATATGAAATCTTAATAGTTCCATTCAATTGTGAATTCCAATGGTTGACCTAAGTTCGACCAAGTTTGATCGAGTTTGACCATTTTTAATCGTGTTGACACATGTTTGACCAAGTTTGATCATGTGACATTTTGGTCATTTTTACTCAAAATTCATTTTCAAAAATTTAGAAATCTTAAAGTAATATTTGGACATGAACTAGGCCCGACTTTAATTATCATAACTGGCTAGAACGTGTCCAATAAAATTAAGTGTTTATAGTTGTCCTTCTTTACATATTTCTGGGAATAAAAAATAATGTAAAAACAAAGACATTAATTTTGTTCGAAACTTTTTTTTATTTTTTTATTTTTTTATTTTATATTTGTTTTTGTTTTTGTTTTTTTTTTTTTTGTCTTTTGTTTTGTTTTCTTTTAAAGGCACTTGAAGTTGGAAATGTTTTGGACTAAACTGCAAATTGGAAAATAAAATGACTAGGATTGAACTGCAAGCCCAAAAATTGAATATTTTGAATTTTTTTGGATTTTGAGCCTTTTTTCATGATTTTTCTTCTTTTTTTCATTTTTTTCTTTCTAATTTTTCCTTTTTTGAAAGCTCATTTTGTTACCGACACTACAATTTTTGAAAACAAATTTGAAAAATTTTTTCAGAATTTTATGATTTTTTATTTTTCAATTTTTTCAATTTTTTTTAATCAAGATTCACAATGAAATCGAAAATTCAAAATTGAGAAACTCTAGATTCACATCATAATAAGACATTCACAACTGAATCCCGAAGCTTTCATTATATAGATATATCAAAGTTGACTCTTCGTCGAATCAAGGAAAGTGTTATCAGGCCGCATACTAATGTTATAAAGCCTTATCTAATTGATGCAAACAAAAGAGCAAGATTACAATTTTGCTTATCAATGATTGAGCAAAGTACTCTCACCACAAACCCTCTGTTTATTGACATGTTTAATGTAGTGCATATTGATGAAAAATGGTTTTACTTGTCAAAAAATCAGAGAGATATTACCTTCATCTAAACGAGGTTGAACCTTTTCGTACTTGTAAAAGCAAACAATTTATCACCAAAGTGATGTTTTCAATTGTAGTAGCTAGACCACATTTTGATGATTTTGGTAATTGTGAATTTTCTAGAAAAATAAGGTTTTTCCCATTTGTATACAAGGAACCAGCTAGGCATAATAGCAAAAATCGACTAGTTGAAACTTTAGCGACTACAAGGAACAAAAGGTCTTGATTTGAATGTGTTGGATCTTAGATTTTTAGAGCGATACAATCTTTACGGCACTAATAAGCTCCTACAACAATTGATGAGTTAGCGACAACTGTAGAAAAATCTTTTAGTGAGTTGTCACCAGAGAGTTTAAAACAATGTGTTTTTGACATTACAAGGGCTTGCATGGTTGAAATTATGAAAGTTAATGGAGGAAACAATTATAGGCTACCACGTATAGGTAAGCAAGGATTGGAAAGAAATGGAGAACTTCTGGTCCAACTTCATTGTGACCAAAAATTGTGCAAAATGCTTTGCAGATGATTCAACTTCGAAGTTGAATGCAAAAAAAATCTTGGATTTATGAAAAAAAGATTTTTTTGTTATATGGATAGTGATATTTTTGCATGTTTTACACTATAAAAAATGCTACAATGTTAGATAGACAGCGATCTTTCTGTATGTTTTTGTTTAACCATGGCGTTACTTTTGTAAATCTTGAGTATATATGGCTTAAGTAATTATGGTGCATTTGTATAAAGGTTAGATGGTATAGCTCCATTAAATTTAAAAAGATTTTATATAGATTTTGTAAGCACTTTGTAATGAAAGGTTTTAAATATAGATTGATAGTTTTGTTATAGAAATTATTTTTTTTTAATTTTACTCAATTTTATTATCAGATTGTTTTCTAAACCTTGAATTTGTTTTTTAATTCTTGATTCATGTGACTGCTAAGTATAATGGTCTAAAAAACTTATAGTTATTACGTTGAATTTTTTTCAATAATTTTAAAATTGAAGTATAATGAAGGTCAAAGAAGCAAATATAAACGTTAAAATTTATTGACATTTTATGGTGAAATTTTGAATGGGATAATTTTAAAACTCAAAAGTGATAAATTTATTGAGACGGGGGAAATATTAATACCGAAAAATTATGTGGACAGACAGATATAGTTTTTTTTTTTTTATTGAGATGAAGAGATTCGATCTCAATTTTTATAATAAGGAAAAACATGCATGAATCTTTCAGTTGACTGTTCAGGTAATACAATTATTTTAAATATTATGCTACTTTTATTCTTTTCGTACGAAAGTACCATCAGGAATAGTAGTCATTAGTAAAAAAAAAAAAAAGATATTGAACAAGTGAAGATATAGGCAATTAATGCTAGGATCATATAATTCTAAATAGACGGCTGGCCGCCCATGCCCCAGTGCTGCTGATCAGTGACAGGTGACCAAACACAAATGACAACGCCTACTTATTCTCATTCGTCCCAACTTTCCTTCATCAGCATCGGAATCCCTTTCACTAGCTTACTTAGTCCAGTTTTTGGCGTTTTCTCTCTTTTCCCACCCCCTTTACTTATTTGACACATTTCTTTGTGTGTTAGTTTCTATACAAACCAACATAAGATAGCTTAGTCGTAGTCGTGTACAAGAATGAAATTTCAAATGGAATACTTGGTTCATGATTTGGGAGTGAATAAGGGAATGAAGAGGTCTCGTTGTTCTTCAGCTAAGGTAGAGAGGAAGATCATTGAGAAGAACAGGAGAAATCATATGAAGAATTTGTACTCCAGGCTCAATTCTCTTCTCCCCCATCATAATTCTAAGGTTTGTTTTTTTCTTTTTTTCCTTTATAACATTAATACCGGGGATCCTAGTTTTAGAGGAATTGATCTTTAAGAAGTTCAGTTGTTATTTCAATGTGGATACTGTTAATTGCAGGAGCCATTGTCATTACCTGATCAAATAGATGAAGCTGTGAATTTCATAAAGAGCCTGGAAACAAGCTTGAAGGAATCCAGGGAGAAAAAGGACAGTCTAATGGGAAGAAAGAGATCGTACAGATGCACCAATACTGCAAGCTTGAGATCCCCAGAAATTAGGATTAACGAAAAGGGTTCTGCTATAGAGGTGGCTTGGATGACTGGCCAAGACAGTCAGTTCATGTTTTATAAGATGATTCGCATACTTCATGTAGAAGGAGCGGAAGTGCTAAACGTCAGTTTTCGACTGTTGGGAATACAATTTTCCATATTGTTCATGCCGAGGTAATACACTGCTTCCAATTTTTATACCATTTCTTCTACTTTTTCACTCAAAAAGGAAAATTGACAACTGTGCAATTTTGAAGTTCTCTAAAAACACTTTGAATTTCTATGTTCGCAGGTTGAAAATTTTGGTGCAGCAAAATTATAACGAAGAAACTAAACAAGTTTGTGCATGGATCCAGCAGCGAACAGGAACTCCAGCAGGAGCTATGTGACTACGAAATCGATCCTGAAACGTTGGATTTCCCAATCACGTGATCCAGGTGCTTGACTTGACGACCTCTTTCCGTGCATGCATAATTAGGCACTGAAAGCACAAGCTTATAATTAAGAGTGCAAACTTCAAGACTGTAGCATTGAATTAGGAAGAACAGCCTTAATAAAATGACTGGTAGTTTTTCCATCTTTGTAAACAGTGAGCATACATAATTAGTCAGGCAACGGGTTTAATAAATGACTGGTAGTTTCAATTCTACTGTTAGAAATATCCTCTTTGGCTCATATCTTGGCTGATGAACTGATTGGAGTAGCAACAGATTTTATGAATACTTTTAAGACTCCAATTCCTCTTCCCTTAGGTTGCTAATTTTTCATGTAACCTTCTATTGGTTGTAATTGTTCACCTCTTTCTCTCTCTCTCTCTCTCTCTCTCTCTTGTTTTAAGCCATATGTATCTATCTTTAACATTGTTAGAGTATGAAGTGAAGAACGGAAATGTTTTAGTTGATACAAATTAAGCTATTGTCGCAACATTTCAGGACTTGGGAAGTGCTCGAGCATGAATGGGGAATTTGAAAAGTGGGGAGTTAAAATGCATTTTCAATAAAAACAAAAAACAAAAAATTGCCACAAATATTTTTGAGGGTATGATTTATCATAAGAAAATTTGTCTTTTTTAATAAAACATTAAGAGATTTAAAGATTTTATAAAAAAAAAAAAATTCAAGTTTGCAAAATCAAATTTAAGATTTGAGAGCCAATTACGTGTTGGAAATAATTAACACCCTTATAACATCTTTTAAAAAAGGTACCAATTAACTGTATATTATTCTTAAACTTTGGTTAAAAATGATCATATTCTAATGTTTAAGGTTAATTCTTCTTTCTTTCCTTTTTTTTTTAATTAAAAAAATATTTTCCTTTTTTTTTAAAGATAAAACATTTTTAATTTTTTTGTTGAAAAGCGAAATAATTTATTTTTTAAATTCAAATGAAAATTTCCTAAGTATGGACATACCTTGTTCACTCTCCTATAGCTAGGTAGAGTTTCAAAAATATTTCTAACTTAGATATTTTTAATTTGTCATACAAAATCGGGATAATATCTTATATAAATAATAATCACCGAGAATCCTCTATATTTATGCCTGATCTTGATGATTATAATTACTTGAATTATTATCTTATTTAAAAACATTTATTTTGAAAACTCATTTTGAAAACAAATGCATAATATGCATGAACATAATAAAATGAATGAATGTATGAATGACATAACATGAATGCATGGCAATTTAAGGATGCATGTAGCAAAGTAAAATGTGATATAAATGCATGAGTGAGATTAAAGGTTGGTTTTAGGGTTTAGGATTTTATGGAAAAATGCATTTGGCCAAAATAAATTACAGTAATACCATTGATAAAAATGTAAATATTTGATGCATGTGACATGTGTATTACACGAGAACAAACTAATTACAAGTATAGGCATTTACAAAACTAAATTACAAACAAGGTGTGTGTCATGGGCTAATCTTTCTCTTGATGAAGTAATAGACCATACAACACTTGGATGGATGCTTTCACATAAGTCAACCAAGAATAACTTGATATCTGAATAGGTAGCCAACAAGCCATAAGTTAATCTCAAGAATGCACAACGATATATCGGGGCATAATAAAAGCACACAAAGGTGACCTTCAGTGTTCCGATAAGAAATAAATTGTTTTATTAATGTCAGAATAGTACAACTAGTATAAAAAGAGCATCGAGTCTTTCCACCATCTTCAGGGCTAAAGGAACAACTCTAGATGAGTGGTCTAGTATGTACCTTAGTTAGTGAGGCAGCTTAACAACATGCTGATTGCTCACCCCCTCTAAAGAGCTTACGAGATTTTATAGCTATGCTATCAAGAATTATTACAATGTTTGAAATAAGGACACTTTTTCCTAGCATATGAAATCTACCCTTCCATTTGGCACATATACCTGATCGTGGCCTTATACATAGGTGGTTCATGATATCTTATACCAGTTCATGGCCTTATATAAGGTTGGCTCATGATATCCTCTCCCACCTATTCTATCAACACCCTCATGACTTGCTGGCTTGGAAATCTTTAATCTTTTACTTGAATATTCAGAGGTCAAAGTCTTTCTTCCAACTAGTTTCTTCTGATCCTAAGCTTTCCCACTTTACTAGATATTCTTGGACTATTCTTTGAGATATTCAGGATACCCTGTCAGCTAAAATCTTTTCAACTCGATGTTGTGATGGTGGCTTCATGGTAATGGCAGCCATGGTTGATTCATTACAACTTGCATCTATGAGGTCTGCATGATAGGGCTTTAAGTTACTCACATGAAACATTGAAAGCACTTTCATCCATTTTAATGGGTTGATTTTGTAAAAGTTATTCCTTACCTTGGAAAGAATTTTCACTAGACCTTTATACTTATGCACCAACCTACGATCTTGTTTCTTTGGGAATCTGGTTTATTCAGGCACTAGTTTGATAAGAATAAGATCACCAACTTTTAATTGTTATGCCTTTCAGCCTTTATCTACCCACTTTTTCATGTGCTTCGATGCTTTCTCTAAGTATGCTTATGCAATTTTTGTGTGCTGTCTCTATTTTTTGCTAAGGTTGAAGGTTCACGGATTCTTCCCTAAATATGGTTCAAGGAATGTATACAGTAATCTTCGTAGTTGTTCAGTGACCATTTCAAATGGACTTTTATTTGTTGAAGAACACTTGTTAAAATTAAAACAAAGTTAAGCTACATCCAACAATGAAGGCTAATTCTTTTGATTAGCTTGAACAGAGTGTTTTAAGTACTTTTTCAACAACCTATTAAATCGTTTGGTTTGACCATCAATTTGTAGATGATAACATGAAAAGATATTAAGCTGAGTTCCCAAGATCTTGAAAAGTTCTCTCTAGAATAACTTAGTGAATCTCGGATCTCTGTCACTGACAATGGTTTGAGAAACTCCCTAATACTTGATTACATGCTTAAATATTAGATAGGTCATATCTTCTACGGTGTAATACTTTTGGGCTAGAATAAACGTGACATGTTTTGAGAAACAATCAATCACTATAAGAATAGACCTGAGATCACCAATCTTAGGAAGACCTGATATGAAGTCAAATGAGATACTTTTTTAAGGTTCATGGGCATAAGTAGTGGTTCAAGCATGCTTGTTAGTTTCTTCTTTTCAACTTTATCCTGTTGGTAAATAAGGTAAGTTTTTTTATAATCTATCACATCTTACCACAAGTGAAGCCTGTAACAGCCTTGTTTTAGTAAAACCAAAGTATAATGCCAAGTAGGGTGACCTACCTACAATGTGTTATGGCATTCTTTCATTATCATCTGTCTCAAACCTTTTATTTTCGGCACAAACAATCGATGAACCTTTGTTAATAAAACCTCATTTTTCTATCAAAAGTATTTGAGTTTTCTTTTTTTTACTAGCTCAGGATGGCACTGGCTAGTGGATCTTTCTTTAAATTATCTTTAATTAGCTTACGAATATTTGTTGTGACTTTACTAGCTGTCATTAGGGTAATTGTCTTGAGGGTAGCTAACTCTGCCCATTTACTTAATGTATCTACCACTTGATTCATTCTTCTAGCTGTGTACTCAAAAAAAAATTTAAATTTGACTAGAAACTTTTGTCATCTAGCTTGCTTAGTCGTGAGCCTTAGCTGGGTGAGAAAATAACTAATCGTAACATTGTCCATCTTAACCACGAATTATGAACCCACCAAATAATGCCACCATGCTTTTAAGTTATGGATTACTACTAGGAGCTCTTTCTCTTGAGCCATGTATCTTTTTTTAGTTTTACTCAACTTTCAACTTTCAAATGCTATCAGATACCGTTCTTGCAAAAACATTCCCCTAATAATGAAATCGGATGCATTTATTTAAACTTTAAAAGGCTTTTCAATGTTAGAAAAAGCCAAGACAAGGTCATTAATCATGGCTTCTTTTAAGCCCTCAAAAGCCTCTTGACATTCATTTGTCCAACACCATTTATGCTTTTTTTTAATAACTCCGTGAGGGTCATTATTCTACAAGAGTACCCTTTCATGAATCTCTTATAATAGTTGGCCAATCCTAAAAGTGAATAGAGCTCACTAACATTCTTTGGTGTTGCTCACTCCTTGATAGCCCTAACTTTTTTCATGTCCATTTGAATGTGGTATTGTTCAACAATGTGACCTAAGAAGTGAATCCATGTTTGAGCAAATGCATATTTCTTCCTTTTAACATATAATTAATGGTCTTGTAGTCTATGAAACACAAGACATAGGTGCTCTTGGTGCTCTTTCAAGGTAGAACTATAGACCACCATGTCATCTAAATAGATGACCACAAACTTGTCAAGATAGTTATAGAACACTTAATTCATCAAGGTACAAAACATGGTAGGGGCATTAATCAATCCAAAAGGTATAATAAGAAATTCAATACACCATACTACGTTGCACAAGTAGTTTTTAGCTCATCTCCTTTAGCAATTCTGACTTTATGATAGCCAAATCTCAAGTCCAATTTAGAGAAGTGCTTGTCCTGACTTAATTGATCAAACAAATCCACAATAAAAGGAAAAAATATTTATTTCTCATATTGACTTTGTTCGAGGCCCTGTAGTTCACAAATAATCATAAACTCTCCTCATGTTTTCTTTGAAATAATATTGATGCCTCAAATAGTGCTTGTAATGGTCTAATGAATCCAACTTGTAAAAGCTTATCTAATTGTTTTCTCAATTCAACCAACTCTGGTGGAGTAATGCAATATGGGCTTTTAGCTGGCAGCTTAACTTTGGGGAGAAGATCAATCTCATGGTCCACCAATCTTCGAAGAGGTAAAAACTTGGGCAATTGCTTTGGCATCATATTCTTAAACTCTTTCAATGCTTTCTGCACCCTATCGGATATCGATTCTAGGTCAATCCTATTTTTGGAAGTGAACATGACTATATAAGAAGGCTTCTCTCTTCTTACCTCTTTCTTGAATTGTAATGTTGAAATAATTTTCTTCTTACTTTTAAGGAGGATGTTGGCTACCACAACACACGACCGTTCCTTTAAGAATAATAGACAACTAGCAATAGGGATTGGAATCGCCTGAGCCAACATCATGAAGTCCAATCCTATAACAACACTAAAGTTATCCATTGGGGAAACTGTGAAGTTTACATTTCCTTCCCATGGCTCCAACTTGGTCATCACACTTTTGGAGCTTCCACTGATCATAAAGGCTAGTGAGTTAACCACTTTCATTTGCCCACAATCCTTATTAACCTTGAGACCACACCTTTTTGCTTCCTCTAGTGTGATGAAGGTATTGGTTGCCCTCGTATCTACCATGGCCTTTATGGTTTTACCATTGAGTGTTAGGTCCACATATATTAAACCTTTCCTAGGTTCTTTCTTTATCATGTTTAGTTGGGTACAGAGGGCACTAAAGAACTGTATTGAACCTA